GTAGTGCGAGACTCAGTGATGGTGATGGCATTTACTGTCAAGGGGCAATGGTTAGATTTGATTTTATTGGAGATAGCCATTGCCTAGCACTTGTGTGACACAAACATCACTTGCCACTTGTCAGCCTAAATCTGGATATTCTCTTGGCGCAATTGGACATGGACTTCTTCAGTGTCTGAGAAGTCACAAATGTTGCTGAGCATTTTGCCATCATCAGTGAACACCTCCGCTTCTGACCTTATGTTGGACAGAAGGTAATTGACGAAGCAAATGAGGATGGTTGGGCCTAGTATCTAGAGCACTTGTGGTGCAGTGGTAGTGTCCCTACCCTGACTCTGGAGGCCTGGGTTCAAGTCCTATTTGATCTTGGGGATGTATAATAACATCTCTGAACAGGTTGAATAGGATATACCAGGGCTAAGAGATTGAGTTCCCAACACCAGCAACCACCTTCCTTTTCCTATGACTCAACCATCAGTTTTCCTATGACTCTTGTTGACTCTAGTTTTGTGATTCCAGGGTATTATTTCAAAGAAGGTCATGAAAGCTATCTCTGATATCCTGGTCGATATGTATTTGTAAAGCAACATCACAAAAAGTCATTACGACAGTTCTGTTGATTTGGGTTTGCTGTTAGCATATTTACTGCTGCGTTCCCTAAATTATAAAAGTACTTCACTAATTGTAAAGTACTTCATTGGTGCAGGGAGAAAAATTTATTTCTATTGCACTTTCTGTAATTACTGATCTGAAATGTTTTGATCTTGGGCTGCATGTCTGACATGTAATATATATTGCCTAGATTAAGACTAATACAATTGTACTGTGACACCTTAAGCGTGAAAGATGCTAGATTTAATTGCAAATTCTACAATTTTCAAGCAGAAGTGTTTGTAATATATGTTTACTAATGTTAAGAATAAAGTATATTTTAGAGGAAAAGTGTAAAGAGCTTTGCAACATCTTGTGGTGCGGAAAGGTGCTATATTATTGCAAGGCTTTCTTTCATTTTTATTATTCCTTTATTGTCATAAAGCCAATTTTCTAGAACTTTCTACCTGATAATATTGTGAGAGCATGGCCATAAAGACAACCAGAGGACAAAAAAAAATCACAGTTCTTCATGTGTGAGTCTTGAGAGTGAGCTTTGGCAGAATATTCAACAAGTGGGGGTTGAGGCAGAATTTTCCAGTTGACCCCAATCTTCACCTAATGTCAATGCACTTTGCAACAGGATCACTGACTATTAAAATATATAGTAAATCTGGACTATAAAGCTAGTCTCATTAATATTGATCATGACAATAAAAATAAAAATTGGGAATTCTGGCTAAGTTTCTTCCTTTCTGTCCTCGGGCACTTATGCCAATTATGATTTTTCCACTGAAATTATGTAGTTCAACAAAGATGAGTTGTCTATACAGCTTGGGTACACAAGATATTTTAAAAATTTAATAGAATTTGATCTAATTATTTTCACTTAAAATGAAGTGAAAAAAGAAAATACCCAAATTAATTGAAATTTTTTATTTAAAAAGATACCAAAATGGCAGATGTATTTGCATAAAATCTGATTTATTAAAATAAATATTTTCTTCAATTACAAGTTTAATTTGTTTCTTTTTCTAAATTAAACTGAAGGTTTCATGACAATTCTGATTCATATTTATGTATTATTACTTTAATAGTATTTCCACACATCACAACACAGCTTGCATACTATAGACCTAAGCAGATTATCTAGAAGCCTACAAGTATTAATCACTATAGCACCCCGTATATCAGTCATTACAAATAATAACTTGTTTTTCTTTTTTCCAGGGCAATGTTATACAGTGGTATACCCACATTAATAGTAAAAGTGCTAATTTCATTGAGAATACTAACTGGACAACAGTAACACATGCATAGGAATAGTTCTGATCGCAGTAACATTTTCCAGTGACTCTGTGATTTCTTCAAAATTTTTTGATATTTTGTTGCCTGTAGTGCAACAGAAGTAAATAAATAAAAGGGAAACTTTCTCTCTCAGCTACTTAAAGAATCTCAGTTTTTTCTTCATCATGTAAAAGTTTTAACAAAACTACGCAGGAGTGAAAAAAAATTAATGTTTCTTTCATTGTTGTCACAAGATTAATTTAAAACCAGACTGTTAAACTGCTGAGGCATTTCTGCTTTAAAAGAGTTGGTTTTAAAACTTGTTAAAATATCTGTAAACCTGGTTAAAAGTTGAAAAGAAAGCAGCCAATCTTGTGAATTAAGAAAATTGCGAACTGTGAAATGGTATCCACCTGAATATTATGGTGCAATAAAGCAAGATCACAATAGCCTCAAACACACTTGAATTGAATGTCTCCATACTTTACGTTTGCTCCTTGAAATCTCACTATCATCAAAATCTCAGAACTCAGCAAATTTATTACTCATTCCTCTGAATATATTACAGTCCAAGTGCATTTCCTGTCTTCCGGATTATGGACGCTGAAAAAGCAACAATTAACTTTCCTTATCATTTTCCTGACATTTGTTCAAGTCTTTGTTTTTAACCTATTTGTTCTTGAGTGACAAACATTATTTCAGCATCAGCACTGCGAAAACATTAAATGGCTGCTGGATCAAATTATTATTACTTCAGGATTGCTTTTTAAAACAAAATCCAATCTGTATGTTACTCACATGAAACTCCAATTCATAAATAGTTGTTCTTAGCAAAACATTAATCTGAAAGCATCTTCACCTGAGAATGCCAATAAATAAATTGCATTAACAAAATTAAGTTAAGAACATAAGAAATGGAGGAGTGTGTCATTCAGCCCTTTGATCTTCAACTTCAAAACTATTTTCTTGTGCTATTCTTGTATCCCTTGATTTTTATGACATGCAGAAATCAAGCAATCTCAGTCATGAACACACTCAATGATTGAACCTCCACAACCCTCTGGGGGATTCCAAAGATTCACAGTCAAAAGTGAAGAAATACCTGTTCAACTCGGTCCTAAATTGCTTGACTTGTCCCAAGTTCCGAATCCTCATCCTTACCCTGCCCTCCACCCCCAGTCTGGGGAAACATTCTTCCTCCATCCAACCTGTTGATCCCTTTAAGAATTTTCTATTTTTGAATGACATCACTTCTCAATCTTCTCAACACCAAATAACACAGGACATTGCAAGAACTGCAGATGCTGGAAGTCAAAGTTAATACAGTGTGGAGCTTGAGGAACACAGCAGGTCAGGCAGTATCAGAGGTACAGGAAAGTCGACTTTTCAGGTCAGGACCCTTCATCAGTCCCGACCCGAAATGTCGACTTTCTTCTTCCTTTGATGCTGCCTGACCTGCTATGTTCCTCCACCTCCACACAGTATTGACACCAAATAATATAGCCCAGTTTATAAGTCTTAAGTAACAATTAAAAGAAACAAAATTCCATTAAAAAATACTGACTTTGAAATTGGAAACATAGCTTCGAGCTGGATTTTCACGCAGAACACTTAAAGACCTAACAAAACAACTTGCTTCTTGTTCTACCTTGATTTTAAGAATAATTAGGCTTTGAATCTAATTATTAAAAATAATTTCAGATTTCAAATTTGTTGTTGCATTGTTTTGACACCTTGCTACTTTTTCTTTTAAAGATGGTACACCTCCTTTATAATCAAAACTGATTGTGTGCTGTAGTGACTAAAGAGTGTCAATAAGGCTCTTACAGTGATTGACCACCTTGCAACTCTGATATAGATTTTTAAAATGCCTGATCACTCGTTTTCTGCGTGGAAGAATGTAACAAATGAACATTAATTTGGGTGGACCAGAAATTGCCACAATATTATCATTATTGGTCACATTTCACGTCTTTCGATTTTTGTGCTGCACATTTCTAAAACTCAAACCTCACAACACTGCAGCAATGCTGATTTCACATCTGGGATTTCATGAATGCAGTCCCTGTTCACCCAGATAAACCAATGATAGAAAAGGATAAATGAACTGACCAGGTGATAAAGAAGATAAGGTGATTAGAGACAAATGAAATAAAGACAGTGAGTGGAATTGAGAGGGAAAGAAAGACAAGTAGAATAAGATCCGGGGGGAAAAAACGTCAGAAGAAAATCAGTAAAAGAATTAAATAGAACAAGCCAAGAAGGTAACATTTTAACTCAGTGTGCATTTTATTTAGCATATGAACACTTGCATTGGTCCTCAAAGATAATAAATGATTAGCAGGGTAAGTGTGTCAAACCTATAAACATTCATTATTGTCAGCAAGACTGGAACAACCAATGGGTACACATCAACTTTCCAAAATGTTACTTCTGAGAGAAATGTAACCATTTTGCATTTGAATGAGTGATTTTCCTCTGAATGCTGAAGCATGTTTGCACAATGAAAATTATTGCCCTCCAACACTAACATGACTGGCAAAAAATAAACCTGGCAAAACAAATAAAATTATTTCAAAACCTCTCATAACAATTGCCTAGCTATTTGAATGACATCCCACAAATTGATTAAATGTCATGTTACCAGCATAAAGTAAATCATTAACAAGTCTTCTATTGAATTAATTACCAAGTCTAAGTGGATACATTGGGAACAGTTCATAACAATAATTGTGAAATTTCATACATTATAAAGTTTAAACAGAACCTTCAGACAGGAACAATTAACAGTTATGGAAATGCTAAAGACAGAGTGTTGCAAATTATCCAGTAACTTTAGAGAATCAGAAGTAATGGCCCATCTCTTTTGCTCGAGAAATGCCTGGACATTTTACAAATTAACAAACAGTGAGCACTATTAATTAGTGACTCCTATGACACAAAGTTCAAACAATTTCTGGCACAATTGCAATGCAAATTCAGTGACCACGTTTCTCTTAAATTTATGTATGACAAGTACATAATTGAAAAGGACTGTTCACAAGTTTCCAGACAATGGTATTTCCACTGCTTGGGACTAGGAGTGAGCGACAACAAAACAATGAAAGCAATTTTTCAGTTTGTGTTTACACTACACCAAATTTTTATTGCTAGGAAATTCATGACAGATGCAGAAGAAAATACTTTTACCTAGGAATTTTCCTTAAATTTAACTGTAGAATAGAGATGGTTCATTCTATCCTGTATCTCACAGTGTACACAGTAAATAACGCTGTCTTGTAGATCATCTCAGCTATATTTAGCAGATGTTTTGTTTTTAGTAGTCAGAATTCAAAATCTTCTTTAAAAGGTCAATTAAATATTTGTGCAAATGGTGGCTTGCTAGAACCAAAATAGTGCGACATTTTCAAATTATTGTTTTTGAAATCACGTTTAAAAATAACTTATTATGGTTCTTGCTGCAATTTCACGTGTAACATTGTATTTGTTAAGTGTAATTCTGTCATTGAATGTATATTCCACAATTTGGCAGCAGATTATACAACCTAAAAAGATCAGTCAAATATGTAAAAAACTTTCATTTCCTGGTTTCCTTATAGCAGAAATATAGAGGCTACTATTTTAATCATTGGAACCAACTGGCCAGATTTGAGATGGTCTTGCAATCAGCCTTGGCACTTTTGACTGCCTGGCATACTTTGCAGTAAGGCTCCTCCCAAAAATTTGCCAGATGCACACTGTATCGCCTTTTCCAATCGAAATACTTCTGATAACGACTTCCGTTTTTATCCAAAAATAACAAATGCTCAGCCAGCTTTTTAGGAGTCGAGAAATCATTTACATGGATAAAAGAACCGGGCGGGATATACTGTTCATAATTGGCTCTGCTGGGCCCTAGGACTATCGGCACAGTACTAGACATGAGGGCATTTCTCCAGAGCTTTTCAGTTATGTAGTCCACGTGTTGCGAATTTTCAAAAGCCAGATAAAATTTATAAGATGATACAGTCAGAACAACGCTGCTATTCTGCAGACTCTGGTGATATTTCCCATACACGTCGATGTGCACATATTGACTGAGTTGGTGATAATATTTAACCCGGGCATGGTCCTCATTCCAATTGCTGATGACCCAAGCTATTAATTTAGATTTGGCGGGTAGCACTACTCTCCTTCCTTCTGTCTTTTTGGGATAGAGGTATCCATACGGCATAAAGATGTCAGAGTCCCGTTTGTATGACATAGTCCAATTAAAGACGCCATTAAGTTTTTCTAGACCTGAAGTGTGAGTGGGAGACTCGAAATTCATCCAGACCCACCTCTGGAAAGAGGGTCTCCGCACTGCAGGGAGCTGGCTCACATTTCCTGCTAAGTCTCGATCATGTATGATCACAGCCTGCGAAACGGGGTAGAATTGCCGGTTGGCTGTCAATCGACAGCCCCCGATGTTGTACAGAGTATCACAGTCCCGTATATTGGTTTTCTTGCCGAATGGATACCACCAGATTAGCACAATCACGGACGCTGGCGTTTTACTGACTCCGATTCTTTTCTGTAAAGGATACGGAAGAATGACCTGAGGAAGCTCTTGTACAGATTTGTAAAAGCTTAGCAGGATCGCCACGGAAAGAGCCAAAGACAGCCGCCGGCACAAGCGTTTACGCATAATTTATGCGCATAATCTCAATCCCTTGAGTCACTTCTGTGAGCAACATCAAAAATTCGCAACTGCTCCAGAGGTTCAATAGTAAAGCTTTCTGCAATACCAGCTATTGCAGTCAGCTCTGTTTGACCAGCTCTGTTGCCGTAGACATCCCCGCCATCTGACTCTGCAGTTTTCCGAGCAAGTTACTGACGTGGCACACATTGAACAAGTGTGGGTGGGAGGAGGCTTGCGGCAATTAACAAAGAGTTATTTTGTTCAGAGGTAGCTGGGCTGCACCGCGTTTACCAGATGGTTGCGGCATTTCAGTTTCGTATCATTTAGTCCATTCAACAAACACTGGCCATTTACTTCATTTTCGAGTACGTATAATACAATTGCTTTAATATAATTGTTCTCATTCGCATCAGTGGGACCTTTGTCTCTGATACTACATTCAATGATTGCAATAACAAAGTTTGTTTGGGGGGTTACCAACCAATTTAAAGCTATTTCAAAACTCAACGTAAAAAGTTGATAATTTCCATAAAATGCTCAGCAAATATCCAACCTTTATGTTCAGAAACACATATATATCATTGATCGTTAAAATACTTTAGCAACCTATCACGTCATATTGCGACAAAAATTATACACAGTTTTGCAACTTTTCACAGTTTATCTTTTCTAGATAATTGTAATTCTTTTCTGGACGAAGCAACGCTTTAATAGTTATTTTTTTAAAAAAAGCACAGCAAATGAAATCGTGCCCAATTAAAGCTTTCAGTTTTTAAATTAATTCGCAGGATTTGGACAGCTAGCTCGTCCCACATTTATTACCTTCCGCAATTCCCCTGGCGAAGGCGGTTAGCCACCTTCCCGAATCACTGCAATCCTCGTGGTGTAGGTACGCACACAGTGCTGTTAGGGAGGGTATTCTGGGATTTAGACCCAGTGACAGTGAGGAGGTAGTAATATGGTTCCAAATCAGGATGGCATATAGTTTAGAGGGACTTTGCAGCTGTGGTGTTCCCATATATTTGCTGCCCTTGCCCTTCGAGGTAGTACAGATCATAGATTTGGGTGGTGCTGTTATAGTAGACATGTTAAATTGTTGCAATGTATCTTGTAGATTGTACACTGCTACCACTCTTCATTGGTGGCAGAGGAAGTGAAAGTTGAAGGTGCTGGAAGTTTAGGTGACCTAAACCGAAGTCCCACACCAGACACTGCTTTAACCAAATCATACTCACTCCAGTACTATATACCCACATCAAGTAGCCAGTCAAGGATCCTCATCACTCATTTGTTCATTGTCTGCTACATTGTGTTTTAGGTGTTTTTAGAATGCTATGAGTACCCTAAGAAATTCAAAATGATGGTAGTAGAGTGCATGCACACCTTTAGGATGCAATGTACCAGACAACATATTGGCTAGATATTAACTGGCGCTTGCAGAGTGACTTTTGGTCGGCAATTTACAGATCAGGTAATTCATGAGTTCAATCAGCATTGTTCCCTCAATGCTAGCAATCCCAATTTGAAGCTCTATTATCCAGCTAGTGCTCTCTTATTTTAACATCCCACTGCAAGGAAGGCCCTCCCATCTATGCTATTTAGATACATCATTTACAGAGATTATAACTTGGCTGTTACTCGAATACAAGTGTGCATGAAATAACTCGACAGAGGCTGGTATTCTATCACCAAGTCACTGTTTATTTAAATATGGGCAGTCCTTGACTTTAGTACTGCCTAATTCAGAGTATCACTGACACTCGCCCTTTTTATATATCAGCCAGATCTCCATGATTGGACCAGATTAACAGTCCTAATCAAGGAACTAATATTCTATGAGGTCTAATTGGCTGACCTTGTTACAATCATTACCGTATGATGCTTTGTGCACTCAAGACTTCTGCACAAATCAGTTGCTTTCAGTCATGGGTTCACTAGGCAAGCCCTTGAAAAAAAGTGACCCGGAAAATGAGCTGAGGTCATGCAGAGTAGAACAAACTGCCGGAATAGGAAGAGGTTTTCAGCAGGTGTTCTGGAACAACTTTCATACCTGAACCTCAGCAAGAAACTACATGCAAGAAATCTGTGTTTCAGTAACAAAGTGGTTACTCAGAATTGTCATCTGTTGCAGCCACAACTGCAAACACCTAGCAGGGCAAGGATTACATGTCCTGTGGTTGTGAAGGTGACTGTGGCCATGAACTGGTTGCTGGTTCCTTCCAGTTTGGAGGTAAAGATATTTGCAGCATCTTGCAGTTTTCAATTTACTGTTGCAGTAGAGAGGTCACTATGAATTTCAAGCATGCAGATTCACCGGGATAAACAAACCAGTTCATGGCAAAGGGTGTGATATGTTTTGAGGGTGTCACATGATTTTTTTCATAAAATTGGATTCAAAATGGTTTCCATTCCCTCAATGTCAAGCTGGTTTCTGATCACAAACAGCAAATAATGCAGGATATTGCCCAGTATTCTGGCTGTAGTCATATTGCTTTCATTCTGTGGCATCCACACAGCTCCAACTTTAGTTGAACACCACAACAAATTAAACAGTAGCCACTGGGCAACAAAGATAATCTGCTAATGATGTAGCTGATATCTGCAGTGTGAACACATGCAGATGTATGCACATTTCATTCTGCCACACAAAATTAGATTGAACAGATCATGGTTTTGCTGAAAAGATGCTTCAGCTACCAGGTATGCTCTGAAGGAACCTTGCAATAACTCAACATAGTGAGTATCGAGACTCATCATGGTCAGCTTCACTACTTTGTTGTTATGAGGGACACACCTTGCTACCAATTTGGTTAGCAGTTGAGAAGCATGTTAACCATAGTGATTTTGACTTTGTCCCACTAACGTCCTCACCTTTCTTTCCTCTGTCCTGAAGCTGCCCTTGTTGAGGTTCCTTCACAAATCCAACACATAATCATTCAACTCCATTTGGTTTCATACTTAAACACAGCAATATTCGGTAATTAAATGAACTACTTACTTCACTACGTGACTACTATATAAGTTGTTGATTTCACAAACTAAAATCATGAAATAAAGAAACTGTAATCCCTTACTTTGAATGGTTTTTCTTTGCAAAAATTAATTTTGTAAAAGTTAAGATGCCCTATATATAGTATGTTCAAAGTCAGGAATGTTTGTGCACTTAAAACTTTTTTTTAATGAAAGTCACATGCAAGTAACATACATCATAAATCCAAGGCCTGATGTTAATTAGAATGTGGCATCTGGTATCTGTGGTAGTGTTGGTGGCTGGGGATTTGTGCAATTTGACAATATGTAGGTGAAACCCAGAAGTCACAAGAGAATCAAAATTAATTTTGACTTTGATTCCCCAAGCTGTGCAGCAGGTGTGATGTGAACCCAGAAAAATTAATTTCAGCTACATTTAATGTGACACTGCACATATGGAGGTGCTTAGGATGAATGGTGCATATAGAATAAGGACAGCACCAGACTTAATGATGGCTGCTGGAATTACTGTTGAGTAAAGCCAAGAGGAATAGGGCCATTTTTTCCAACAATAGAAGGAAAAGTGCTGCTGCTCTCAACAAGAAGTTGTGATTGAATTTTGTTGAGAAATTGAGCAACAGAGGCATTGAATCCATTGCCTGAGCATAATGTAGACAGCAGAGGAATGATATAACAAAGTTAGGAAAAGTAAGCTAAACTGCAGATTCAACTATATCCTGTGCTATTAGCCCATTTCCACCCAGCCACATTCATGCTTTCTTGCTAACATTTCCATCACATCATCCGTAGCACACACTAAACTCTCAGCAGCATCAGTCTACACTTTTTATGTACTTCATCATCTCTCCTATTATCCATCCATCACTGACTCCGGTCATTATACAATATGACATACTACTTCCATTGGAATATCTCACCTGACATGGGCTGGCACAACAAAAAGGTCTCTAATGGAAAGGAAGATCCTCTGGAGAAAAATTGTACCTCGACAACTTTCTCAGTTGGCAGTAGAGAAACTGGGGACTCACAGATAGCTGGTGGCAGAATTAGAAATATCTGTGACATGAAGGTTTATAAAGAACTAAAATATAAAAACTGAATGTGGTGAATGGAAGGATGTTCCCAATTACAGGAAGTGTTGCATGACATTCCTGAGAATGACTCCTCAAAAGAATACATTCCTTCTGAGGGTGAACAGTCATAGAACCAACAGCCATGCTACAGCATAAATACTCACACAGTGGGTGACCTGTGTGGGTAATCAATGGGCTTTCAGATCATGATTCACACGCAACAAATGTGCACAATCAGACATTGGTTGCAAGGGCAATATAAAATCCATGAAAGCAGATGCACTGCTCTCCAAACTCTGCTAAGCTGGACATGAATGTTAAAATCCAGGGGCTATTGTCGTGAAGGAAAATGCAGCCCTGATGGCCTGAACAAAGGTATTCTGTCTTTATAGCAGAAAGTAAGAACAAATTGCAGGCTGGTGAGCATTACGTCAGTGGTAGGAAAATTATTGGAGAAGATTTTTAGGGATAAGATTTATTCACATTTGGAAAAATATGGAATTATTAGTGATAACAATGTGTAGAGCTGGATGAACACAGCAGGCCAAGCAGCTTCAGAGGAGCAGAAAAGCTGACGTTTCGGGCCTAGACCCCTCTTCAGCTCCTCTGATGCTGCTTGGCCTGCTGTGTTCATCCAGCTCTACACCTTGTTATCTCAGATTCTCCAGTGTCTGCAGTTCCTGCTTTCTCTGATGGAATTATTAGTGATAGGTAACATTGATTTGTGCAGGAAGATCATGTCTCACAAACTTTATTTGGTCTTTGAGGAGGCGACAAAGATGACTGTTGAGGGCAGGACAGTAGATGTCTAAATGAACTTTAGCAAGGCCTTTGACAAGGTCCCTTATGGCAGGCTGATACAGAAGGTAAAGTCACATGGGATCTGCAGTGAGCTGGTAAGATGGATTCAGAACTGGCTTAGTCATAGAAGACAGAAAGTAATGGTGGTAAGGTGGTTTTTAGATTGGAGATCTGTGACAAGTGACATTCTGCAGGGTTCAATGCTGGGACCCCTATTTTTTGTAATATACATAAATGATTTGGAGGAGAATGTAGGTGTCCTGCCTAATTAGTAAGTTTGTGGATGACACAAAGATTGGGGGAGCTGCAGATAGTAAGGAGGATTGCCAGAGTATAGAGCAGGATATAGATAGGCTGGAGACTTGGGCAGAGAAATAGCAGATGAAGTTTAGTACGGACAAATACAAGGTGTTGCACTTTGAGAGATCTAATGCAGATGGGAATTATTCAGTAAATGGCAGAACACTTAGAAGCATTAACATACGGAGG